CACACACACACACACACACACACACACACACACACACACACACACACACACACAGACACACAGACACACAGACACACACACACAGACACACACACACACACACCCCCACACACAGAGCAGTGGTGTGACAGCCTCATGCACGGATCTGCTGGGTTATACAGTGACTTCTGTGGGCCGCCCTGACACTCATCTATACACTGCTTCTCCTCCACAGGTCTTGTTAAATGTAAGAGCATATGGATCATCTGTGGCAATTTTTTTTCAGATAATTCAGTATTATGGCGTGGAATCTGAAGAAAATAATAAATGACATGATATTTTAATAGATACATATACTGTATATACATATCCATAATAGATGTTCCACTGAGCTATCCCACATTGCTCTTTATTACTGAATATAATAAGTATATGAAGTCAAATAATGATTTCCATACATTAACTAAATATGTATATTCAACTGGAAATAGCTATATTATGGCTGTAAAAGCAGTGTTGGAGCACTCGTGTTTCAGTCTCAATCTCTTCAGTGTCGACATTGAAACACAGATATCACTAAATTACACTAAATTAAAATCCAGATGTAGGGTAAACCACATATTATTGTTGTAATCTGTATGTACGGCTGCATTTGAAGGATGTAGAGGTTTGCTTCAGTTTATCATCTGAGCACTTTAAGGGGAAAAAATATTTTTAAAAAGAAATAAAAGCCTTGACCATTACTTAACCAGGAGAGTCTGATGGCTTTGAGTTCTATTAAAGCCTCTACATTGATGTGGAGCACTAACAGGCCTGAGAGACGACTGCTTTGGTTCTGGTCTTCTTTATGTCTCTGACTTGTCTTAAGGGCATTGGATGCAGTTGTGGGAAGCAGAAATGTTCAACCTATGCTTAAAACTGAAAATATAGTGTTTCATCAAGTTTTGATCTTTTTTGGGCAAATGTCTTGTCCTACACTTTCTAACCTACCAATGTATAATAAAAAGTCTTGGCTGCTGAAAGTTGGCCACCGGCAGCAGTGACGAGTGTTCATGGTGTGCTCTCTTCATTAGGGGCCCTGTCGGTTCAGCTCACTGCGGCTATAGTTCAACATGTCAAAACAGCTCAGGAGCCTGTCAATCCCCCCCTGATGGGTGCAAAAGCCCTGTGAGACCAGTCTCTGTTTTTCTGTTTAAGTCATTAGTCAATTTCGCCCTTAGTGGAGCAGCCCAGTATAGTTAAGAATGTTAAAATGTAATTATTGTGAAAATACACTCACTTATTCGGTTCTCAGGAGGTTAAATTCTGAAAAAATAAAATATAATTACTGCCAGAGTGGTGCTGGATCCTGTCAATATGTCGCACACTTTTTTCAGCTGTCTCTGTCTCTGTCCACAGTTCTGAGGGATTCATAAGAAATGTCTACTGGCAATTGCATCCAACAAGTCTGTGTTCCACTACGAAAGCAATAAGAAAAGCATACTTCCATACACCATTATCTGGTTTATTTATTTTACTTGAAGGCTTCCATTGTAAAGCTGCACATGGAGTGGGTTGGGGCTAGCGTGAAATGGCTAAGTGCATGATGAATGTTGTAAACATATCAAGGCTGCGGCCATTTACTCGCTGTTGTCAAATGTGTCGTGAGTCGTGGCCGCTCATTTGTCAGATTGACTTAAGAGGCCATGATAGCCTCACCCTTGAGACATCGTTTGGTGCCTTTTCACTAGAATTGTAAAAAAAAGTGTGTTATGACAGCGAGATATGACTGAATGAAGATGGGATTAACAATGCTATGTGACTGTTTTCTTGACAAATGAGATAAATGGGATTAAGTATGGCATGTAAAAGCATACATCATCTCTGGGGGAATTATGTATTTCACAGTAAATGCACCATTTAACAGTTGAATTATTTATGAAGTGTCAAGTAATACATGTGCAATACTAGTCCGCGATTACCCCAATACTAAAAATTGTGAAATGAAATTCATAAATGCATACATGTATCTAGGCTTGTCAATACAAATTATGATGGACAATATATTTATTCAGAAAGTTATTGTGATAAACGGTATGATACATCTTAAAGTAATAGCAATACCATCTTACATTTGTCTATCTATTATCTATTTATCTAAGAAGACAAGATGAACCTTCCCAAAAAGATAGACAATACTATTGAAACACCTTTTATTACACTCAAACAATTACAACATTGTAAAATCCATGTACAGTAAGTAAGCCTTGGGTGAGAGGTTAAACAATCAAATTAGTTTTAGCCATAGTTTTAGCCATAAATCTGTGTGGCGCCCTCTACATATGTGTGGCGCCCTCTCTACTTTTTTGGTGGAACTACATTAGAATTTTGTGTCTGGCCTCTCCTTTGGCCCTGGAGTGATGCGTGACGTCACTTGGTATGTGTGACATGTGTCTCTCTGTGACAGAGGTATAAACCCATCCAAGTGTCTCACACACACACACATCTGTATATACAGATATATATAAATGGTCTTGAAGGAGTTCCCAGAGATGCTTAGCACTTTTGGGCCCTTTCGCCTTCACTCTGTGGTCCATCTCACCCCAAAACCATTTGGATTGGGTTCAGGTCCGGTGACTGTGGAGGCCAGGTCATCTGGCCCAGCACCCATCACTCTCCTTATTGGTCAAACAGCCCTTATGGTACTTTCAGACCGGCAACGCTGGAACGCACATTCTCTAGTTTTCAGAAGCACGGGACTTCACACCAGAACGTCCTGGCCAGCCCCGGAAGTGGCGGAAGTAGCAGGCGGACTTTGATGCTAACGGAGTAAGCTAGCGGGTTTTTGTGTTAAGTTCGTCTCCAATAATGCAGCTCTGCAGCGTGTCTTTGTCCAGATACCTTCCACAGACTTTATATAACAGTAGTATGTGTTCACGGAGGTGCGCAATAAGTATATTTTATTATTAAACGGTACTTCCGCATCGGCGAACACACTCGAAGCAGTTGCATAAAGTCACGGGAGCATGAAAACGCATATGTTCACCCATTGTCAACCCTGGTTTAGTCCTGGTGTAGCTCCTGTTTTGGCTGTTTACGAGTATGTTCAGTCTGCTCGCTCAGTCCGCTAATGTCCCCGTGACCACTTTGCGGCTCTCTGAGGAAAGATTGAGCAAAACTCATCTCCTGCGTTCCTCCCTTTCGTCTTCCCGGCACGGTCTATGCGCGCGTTCCGAGATGTTCGTGCGTTTTGATGCTCAAACGCGCGTCACCATTGACTTTGCATTGAAAGCCGACGTATGATCCGGTCTGAACATGGCATTACACAGCCTGGGTGTGAATCTACAGTCAATTCATGAAAAGAAAGGACACTCATTGAATGAGAAGGTGTGTCCAAACTGTTGGTCTGTACTGTATATATTGCGCGCTGTTCAAAATGAGGACTATTAAAATAGTATAAAAATAGTTTTCACTTTTTATATTTTTGTAATTTTAACTTAGCTTGTTAATCTACTTAGGCTTGATGTCTATACTATGCACTGTAATTTCCTTTGTAGGTTAATTGAATTTTGTCTCAGCATAGGTAAAAGTTTAAAAGCAACGTTTACTACGTTACTTTACCTGTGACATAATAGGATCAGGATTTCGTTTCTAGTTCTACAAACTCGCTTAGAATATTCCCACACCCTGCATTAAGATTCTAGAGGAGAACTCTGCGCCTTTTTCCATCTTCATCTTTAAAGTTTTGACAGGCTGACTGCGGTCTTACAAGTGGATGTTTTAAAGATGAGATGTCTATCGGCAGCCTTGAGATATGAAACCAATAACCCTGCATCAAGGTTCAGTCATTTGCATCTGGCCCCATGCTGCAGGTTAAAACGACCTGGGACTGCTCTGAGTGGACACTGCTGAGAAACCATGAATATAAAATATATTTCACTTACATTGGCTCCTTTCACCATCCATGGATTTAAAACCGCATTGATCAACATGAGTTAAACCTGATGAGAGTGTGGGTTGCGCAATTTGACTGCTGAGCATAATTATAGTCAGTTCAAGACGGTTCAGTTATTTGACGGCCTAATGATTTGTAATATTGAGTCATTTATTGATGCTCGATTGTTTGAACTGATTTATCTTAGTTGTCGGGATGCATGTTTTTTCAAATGTAATTTTGTAACTTTAATTCCCCCAGATGAGCTGGAGGAAGTATGTCTAGCTAGGAAAGTCTAGCTGTTTAGACTGCTGCCCCTGTGACCCGGTGGCAACATCCATCCATCCATCCATTTTCTTCCCTTTAATCCATTTCTGGGTCAGGGGGGTGACAGTCAGAGATGCCACCCAAGTCTCATAGCACCAGCCCCTCACTGATCCTCTGCAGGTGGTGAGTCCACAGGAGGACGGCTGCTCTCTGAGTGTGAGCATAGCCTTGATCTTTCAATGGGGGCTTTGGGCAAAGTGGGGTTAAGTGTCTTGCCCACGGACACAACAACAGCAGTCATCAGTGGGAGTCAGTGGAGAAGGCAGAGGTGGGAAATGAACCCACGACCTTCTGGGCTTAAGGCCAATGCTCTACCAACTGAGCTACTGTCGCCCCCCCGGTGGCAACAGACTAAGCTAAATAAAATGGATGTGTGAAACCAGAGACGATATGAACTTTGCTGCTAGTTGAGTATGTATTGTGTAGTTATTGTTGAAAGCTAATTCAATTCGATATTGTCAATTAAAACCATTAATTTTCTACAACGTCTTCTGTAATGTTGAATTCATTGATGCTTGCAGTTATAATACTGTATGTTTACAATACAATCTGACTGCAGTTGGCAGTCTGTTTGTGTGATCTGAAAAGTCGTCTTTGTTGCTCAAGAGCTCTGTGCCACTGGATGAATCTGTTAATTTTCAATATTTCCATAAATTGCATATATTTCTAGTAAGATCCATGTTGGCAGATGCATCTATGTTTTGTGATTTAAAATATACATAGTGTGTGTGCTTGGAAATGTGACAATACTCATCATGTTGTTTCATGTTTCTTTATCCAGGCCCATGCCACCCAAACCCATGCCACAACAGAGGGAAGTGTGAGGTGAGCGAGTCGTACCGCGGAGACACCTTCATCGGGTACGTGTGCAGGTGCCAGGCGGGCTTCAGCGGAGTGCACTGCCAGCACAGTAAGTCCTGCATCACACACTGTTGTCTTCTAAGATCTGCCCTTTAATGACTTGATGTGCTTTGCTCTGTTTAATGTATATTTTAAAATCTTTCTTAAATATGTCGGCTATATTTTTAATCAGACACATTTGAATGGATGATCAAAACATTACAACGGGTCACATATATTTTGTTTTCCCTTTGAAATGAGAAGATGTGAAAGCTTTTTAGAGAAGCACAGATATATGCACCTGCATCTAATTTGAAGTGTACTGCTTACTGAGGGATTACAGCCGCTGCTCAGTAATCTCAAATGTCCTATAATCTAATGGTTTGGGAAGAAATCCAATAGGGTTTTTTATTCATAAATCCAAGCAGTATAGTTTGCTAAACCGTTGTTTAACCTCGCCTTTAGCATAAATCAGATTTTGGCCTTCTACACATATCAGTATTTAGCTTAGAGCAGTGGCATTGTTCCTGAATTAGATGTAAACGATTTTACAGGACAAATAATAACCTTGAGCAGCGAGCGAATGTGTGTTAAAAGGACAAGTTATCATTGTGTAGCTGCAGGAGAGAAAATAACTGCTGAAGTGGCTTTCTACATGTGGACACACGTTTAATAGAAGTTGTACCAGGAGGCTATGGCAAGCTGCCTGGGATTTAAAGCATTGTTCTTGCTACAATTGTGATAAACTGTGGAGCATGTAGCAAACACAGAGAAAGTTGCACAGTAGTTATATTTGCTAATTGACTTGACTGGTTTAATTTGCTCCATTGTAAAAGAAAATGAGCGCTGTGATATCGGCACAAATAATACAAATGTTTAGAAGGGAAGCGTGATTTCAGCATTGTTATACACAGTAAAAGGAAAAGGATCCGAGGCACTCCAACTTAGATAAAAGGCCTTTATTGGTTGAGGGACCTGCCGTCTTCAACATTGTTCTACTTTGAAACGACAGGAGAGTTGGGTGTTATGTGCTACTGTGACTGAGAATATATAATAATTCATGCAAAACTAGATCTGCACGACAACAGTTCAAAAGCAGAAGAGCTGATTGTTATTGTTTCTAGCCACGGTTGCCTTGACAACACCACCTGTAGACAGATATTAGTTTCTTACTTGTATCTGCTTGTCCGTCCCAGTCACTACTGCCTTCCTGCTCCCTGTGTTGGGATCTTTATTGAAAGATAGAATCACACCTCCATACAAGGTAACAACACTCAAAATGCTTCAAGCAAGCCACTCCTTATTTACATATAAACAAAAACCCCTATGTGGTATACGGACTTCAAAAGCCCTTGCCAGGGGGCTCAAGGTCACCTGCCGTTCCTGGACCATAATGCTGAAGGGTAGGTTGCCTTATTGAACTCTAGTTTAAGGTTAAGCACATTCTTATTTTCATTATATAAACATAATTTCTATTACAATGATGTTAGTATCAAAAGCCCCCATGAGTCTTTTTAAAACATGATCTGAGTGTTTAAGAGTATTAATTACAATAAGGGCCACCAGACAAGGCTCACAATAAATGACCTTTGGAAATCTCAATAAATGATATTATTGAGCACATGGATCTCCATGATTCACAAACCTTTAAATGGGGATGTGAAAGAAATGATTTTGACAATTTCTCGTATTAATGTTTCTCAATGTTTATATTGAGTCTGATGTTGTAAATGTAGGGAGGAGTTAAACAGTTAGAGCTGTAATTAATGATTATTTCATAATCAATTAGTTCTTCAGGTTAGTTGATATTATGCCCCATATGGAGAGCATTGCTATTTTTAAACTAAAAACTCAAATAAGTATCTGAAGTGTCTTAAAACCTTTTATTAAAACATGTTATTGATTATTAGTTGACAAATATTTAATTACTTGATTCGTAGTGATTTTTTTCGATTCACTTCACTGACAGCCCATTTCAGAACAGGTACTTCCATATTGCCAGCCGTTTCTGATGGTTTTTTACTGATTTTTGAAGACCCACAGAATATTGTGTACTATGACTATCTGAAATCCGACACCAGATTTTGTTCCCCTGTAATCCTCCGTCGAGTAGAGGGAAGTTTTACTGAAATCACCAGAAAGCTGAGAAAAAAGAGGCACAAAATGTGCATCTAGCAGTTTTCAAACCATTCAGAGAGCAATGCTGCCATCTTCTGGCTAGATAAAATATTGCCTCAAGCCAATCCCCATACATATTAGATACAATAGACCCCTGGGAGCATGAAAATAGCGGGAAATGCAATTGACGTATTAATGCGTCAATGGCTCACACCGTTACTATTTTATAATTCAGCCCTAACAATAAACCTGTGATTAAAACCACTGTGTAAATCATGTATAATAAAATATACATTGTATCATTTGTTCTGATGCTGATGGAGCAGGTCAGTGATTTATGAGAGGGCAGTTTATGGAGGGCCCTCGAAGTGACTATGAGAAGCTTTTATTTTATTAGGTATCGTATGGGGCGGAAGTGGAGTTCTTTGAGGATGGGGGTGATGTGGTCTCTGTAGCGGCTGTGGAGGCGGGCAGCGATTACAGTTTTTAGATATGAGTGAAGGGGAGAAGGGTATTGCAGTAGTCAAGTTTGAAAGTGATGAAAAATATGTTTTGGTGGTATGGTTGGTGTGGGATTAGAAGGTGGATTCCATGATAAAGCTGAGGTAGAAAACTTCTTGCTGTTCTGACATCTTTTTGTAACTTAAACCTTTTCTTAGGTCAGCTTTTGTGGAGCAAGCCATCAATCTTTTGAGCCAAACACATTTTATAAACCCATACTGTGCTGTGCATTTCCAGCTTTTACACTCATCCTAGGATTTGACTGGTATAAGTGTAAGGGTTTCCCACTGGGCGATGTGCAGGTGTCTTGAGGCTGGGTCTTGAGGCTGGGTCTTGAGGCTGGGTCTTGGGGCTTGCCAGCGGTGTCCGCTTGGCTGAGCATTACATTCCTCGTGCAGCACACTTGTCCTCCATCACAGGTGTGCTTGTAGGTAATGACTATTGCATTTGGGTGCTGGCTGTGTTCTGATCCTTAGCGGGCTGAGAGAGATGGATGGCAGTGACAAAATGTGAATAAAGCTTGTAGATGTAGGTTTATGTTAGTAAAATTAAAGAACATACATTTTTGAGAACAAATCATGTATACACTTTTATATTGACTGAGTATTGTCAGAAACATGCCACATGTGGTGGTTTGTTTTGTAGGAGCAGTACTATTGAAGCATAAAAACAAACATATTTGTTTTACATATTCAATGCTAATGTTGAGAGGAAGCTGTTGTGTTCTGTATAATCTATGTATTTGTGACATTGACATCCAGAGTGAAAGTGTTTAAGCAGCACTGACAGAGGACAGAGCAGTGCGCCCTTCATGCGGACACAGAATCCATACTTTTGTAGGTCTCATTTGTAAAACCGTTAAAGGACCACATCGCTCACGGCAGATGATGGTATTGCTCAGCGCATTCATTTATCGCATTTATCCGTGTGCGTTCACAGGACACGTGCATGCGACACAGAGCTACAGCACACAGAAGCTTTGCATAATTAATGTGTGACTTAAAAACACGTTCAGACACAGAGTAGACCCTCCAATAGCTTTTCATAGTACTCATGAAACTGAAATGTTGAGGCCTATGGCCTTTTATAATGTGTAATTAGAATTAAAATAGAACAAGGCAAATCTACCTGTTAATGGCACCAGATGTGAATTTAGAATTAATATGTTCATATTTGTCAAATGAAAAATACCACAGTCTTAAAACTTGCTATAACAAAATGCTTGTGTATTTTTTTTTATCACAAAATTGTAATTGTGCCAGTGTAATGCTCAAATATTCTGTTTTCATGGAATACAAAACTGAAAACTACTGGCGGTAGTTTTTCCAATTTGCCTTTAAGCCCAAAAGTAGAATGGTAATACTTTTCCATCATCTTATTGCCCGTGATACTCTAAGCACATTTCATTTTGGATCAATAGACGTCTTCTTTTTCTGAGATGGAACAGCGGTGCAGAATTGATTGAGGCTAAATGTGCATTGTGCAGACGTTTTTGTCGACGAGCCTATGTTTGATCTAGTATTGAGCTCTTTTATCATGTCGTATTAGTACTGTGCCTCCATAGCCTGATGCCGCCCCATAATCAGACAGTGTTTATGGCCGCGTCCTGTCGGGACGCCTCAGCCATCACTGACCACAATCACCTGGGGCGGACCACACATTCTGCAGCCTCCTCCGGGAATCACAGCATGGACCTACATTTTACTCTCATTATTGACCTATTTACTCCTTGTCACCTCAAAGCAATAAAAATAACCCTTACACTTTTCAGGCAAGGCAAGTTTATTTGTATAGCACAATTTCATACACAAGGCAACTCAAAGTGCTGAACAAAATAAGTTATCATTAAAATCCTAAATAATCACTGTACATTAAAAAGAAAGATAAAGATATAAAATCCCTCAGTTGTATGCACAGCTAAACAGAACTGTTTTTAATCTAGTCTTAAACATTGTCAGAGAGGAGGCCTGTCTCACATCTTCAGGAAGACTGTTCCAGATTTTAGCAGCATGAATCTGAAAAGCAGCCTCCCCATGGTTAGTCCTGACTCTGGGCACTAACAGGAGTCCAGTCCCTGTGCTCCTCAGAGTCCGGGCTGGTTCTTTTTCTAACTTCGTTCGGTGTTTCACTATGGGAATCGCCTTGGGCGTGACCATCCATGGAAGCTCCAATGGCACCACGTCTGTCTTTTGACAGACAGGTTGACAGTACCTAGCACCGCCCACCTACCCTGGTACAGTCAACCTCCTCCTTTTGGAATCATTCTCGCTTTCTTCCCGCGTGGAAACCATATCTTTTAGCTCCTTCAGCGTTCTCGGACCTTAGGCTAGCTTCTGCTTAACAGTTCACAGACGAGCCGTAAAGGATTTCGTTGACGAGCGCAGTTGCTGGTGCTTTGGTTCACCGACGCTGGGTAAGTCCTTACAGTCTTACCGCTAAGCTATTATTATT